CAAGGTAAAGCATTCCATACACGTGGAATTCATAGGTATTGCCTTGATATTCTGCTTGAATATCTTTGCTTTCATTGTTAGAAGTAATGGTGAATTCCTTTTTATGACAGGCAAGGTAGGTTGGACTACACCTTGGCTCAAGGATGCTGCTTTATCTCTTGACAAGTTACATGAAAGCTATGTGGAGGTGGGCTCAAATATATTTCTATTAGGTTCTTTATTTTTGGCAACGAGTTTGATGCCTGAATATGTTGTAACTCCTGTGAAGAAGTTCGTGAAGCATATAGAAAGAAAGGCTGGGCAATGTCCAACCCAGATCTGATTGACCAGGTATGCTCATGTCTTGAACTTTAGCTTACCTTGTACTAGAGCCCATAGGTACATCAGTCTCCTATTCAAGTAGCTTTGGTTAAATAACGTTGAGGGTAATATTGTTATCTAGCTTTATTTTTTTTAATTAAAAAAAATCTTCATTTGCTTTTGTAATAACATGACAGAGATATTAGCTTCTGTAATGAAATAGATGTACTTATGAGTTGTGCATCTAAGTTTTTAATTGAAATAGTAAATTTGCTTTAATTGTAGGATTAAATTCATGTAGTTTTGATTTATATAACCTAAGTATTATTTTTAGTTTATGGATTAATGAATTAAAAATCTATTTGAAAAGTTTTTTTAGTTGGCCCATGAATTGAATGGATTGAGTCGTAGAAAAACTCTGGGTATACTCCATGCCAGGTTTCAAAACTATACTTATATTTTATCACTTTGCAACGTTTTGGATTAAATCTCCTTTCAATCTGTACTACCTCTTTAAAAATAACAGTATTGGTTTTTGGTCAATGTGAGATTTTCAGTTTGAATGTTTTCTCTGTAGAGTCAAATACAGTGTGCATGATGAAGCAGTTAATGTATTTGTTTTACTATAGTATAATTATTACCGAATTGATTTCTTCTATGATGTAATACATTTTTGAAATGAAGTCCTCTGGTTTTCCTTTATCTCTATTCTTGTTACTTACGCTCTCTTCTGACAAGTTTCCATCCTTTTATTCCTTTGATTTTCCATTGCCTATGAATATCTTCAGATATTCTTCGTTCTCAGTACAACTCTGTATCAGGATAAGATGCCTATCGAAAATTATCGAAAGTTATAAATTTAATTCTCAGGGCCGGTGAAATTATGTATATTAAATTGTGGTCATTTTTTCTGAACTTTACACTCTTTCTGATTTCCTCATTTTCAATGTTAAACCAGTGCAAAAGAAAAGGTTTTCTTCAATGGGTCAAAGAGGAAGAAGGTGAAGGTGCAATATATATGGATTCTTGGACGTCAATAAGGTAGCTGGCAGTTTTCATTTTGCACCTGGGAAGAGTTTCCAACAGTCGAATGTGCATGTTCACGATCTGCTAACATTTTAGAAGGACAGTTTTAACGTTACACTTGTCCCAATACCTTCCTTTCTGGAATAGCAACTAAGATATTTCTGTGGCACTTATTATCAACAAACAAGATGCTTTCGCTATTCAGCTCGTGATGTTAGTTGTTGATTTAGCATCTGGTTTACCCAATGTGTGATTGTGCAACAGATAAGCCACAAGATCAACAGATTAGCATTCGGGGACTACTTTCCTGGTGTAATAAATCCTTTGGATGGGTATTTTGTCTTCTCAGTTCATATAGTCATTTATCTATTGTACTTAAAACAGTCCTCTTCAGATTCTTTGCCAATACATATATGTTGATATTCTGCATTCTTGGCACTTTACTTTGCAGAGTGCTATGGTTCTAGCTGTGGTTGACCTCGCTTCTATGCGGGATGCAATGAAGAACCTTGGCAGTGACCCTGACAAGATCAATCCCTTGGTACACTGCTTTTCCTCTGCAAATAATATCCGTGCAATGTATTTTTGGTAGTAGCAAAAACTAATGCTTATAATATGTAGAGCAGAATAGTATATAAGGTCACAGTGCATTATGTTTTTGATGGGCAACATGTCGTGCTATATCTTTTCAAATATCTATTTTCCATTTTGTGTTCCACCATAGATTACATAGTTCTTTGTCCTAGACAAAATTCTTGTTATTGGATTCAGGTTCATGCATTTCATATGTTGCTTATGAATCTTTTTTTTTTCCACTTAAAAAATTAAGGAATGGCTTCGAAGCTTAGGATTAGGTGATGAACTTGGGAAAGTGTTTGAAATATAATACATATTAAGTTGTGACTTCAATCCGAAAATTGTAGCTCATCGAGATGAAGATGATGGTGAAAATGTGAATAATTGCGGTCTCTAAGGACCAAGATCGTGTAAGTCGCTGCAACTTTAGAGGGAAGAAAGAGCTTCAGGTGATGCTTTGGAACTTAAGATCTAGGCAATTTGGAATCTCAAGTGTATGAAAGCCCGAATAGTCTTATTTGTTATCAAATGAGAGAACAAACTGTGTCATTGCAATTGCATTTAGTTTAAGGGTAGTGTGAAACTGGCAAAGTGCGCGGAGAGTCTCGGATTAAAAAAAAAAACCACAAAAGCATCGTTCAAGAGCCTTCTACCGTCATTTCCTTTCTCTTTCTCTCTTCATCTTCACAACCATGATGGCACTAAACATGGAGAAGGTCATATTATTGACAAGTTTGACCAATCGATTGGTAAAGGTTTTGAACTTCCTTTTAATTTTTCGTATTTATTGTTCAATTTGTGTTCAACTCTTCGGCCATGAACCGATAATTTTTTTTGCCTGAAAAGCTTCCATTAAGGCCATGCTGAGTGTGGAAATTGTAGGTAATGGAATAATGAAGAGGGTCTGAATCACAGCCACATCAATAAGCCTTACATTTTGAAAATTAAAGTTGTTTATTCCTTAATACTTTTTTACTCTGTATATGATGACTCAAATAGATCAAAAAAATAAGGAAAATCTTGGTTGATGCAAGGACTGACGTATTCTTGTTCACAAATCCTTGACTATTAAGTGTGAAAAAATGCTATATTATGTATTCAATGTTTAAGAAGAAACTACCAAAAAAAGGTGAGAAATATATATTTTTGGAATGCTAAAGTTACCTTCGTAATCACATTGCCCGTGCATTGCTCGGGCAATAGACTAGTAAGAATACAACCAAGAATCTAATAGAGTTCAATTTTTTTTTTTTAAAAGTGATAGTTACACAAATACATGGATTCCACTTTCAAATTAAAAAATCAAATTTAAAATTTGATAATTCAAAAATCAGGTTATAATTCACTTTTTCAATATTAATAATAATATTGTTAAATTTTATCTCTATCTTCTCTATTCTCTCTCTATCTTGTCCCTGCTCTCTCTAAATACCACAATCATCACCAAGCACAATCCAACGGAATTGATGGGCCGAGCATTACCGGTCACAATGATGCTCGCTAATGTGTGCAACTGAGCTCACTGGTGCAACATCACGTGCAACAACGCTAGCGTCAGGGAAATATTGATTAAAGATGCGTGATTTATATGTCAACCGATATCTTTCTGTAATAATAGTGTATTCCAAAGTCAAAAGTATATTTCCTTGGTGATGTCAAATTTATTGGTTGAGCAACTGTAGTTTGGAAATTTTTAATTGTCGGAGTAAATGATGTTAGTGGTAGTGTCGACGATGATCTATGGACAGAGCTAATGGATTGGTGTTCG